AAATGATAGACCTAAATTAGTTTATACATTTAATGCTATTCTGGTCAAAAATGTGCTTTATGGAACTAGACAAAATAGTATAACATTATGATTCAAACAAGGGAACATAAGGGAAATGTGCAAGGAAAAAACTAGGAATGAATCTTCCTGACCTAATTTGCACTATAAAGCAGTTGTCATGAAAACTGTTACTGATTTTAAAGTGGAGAAATAGATGTATGTAATGGACTACAGAAAAATTAGAAACAATCTTATCTCAGTAACTCATTGTTAAAAAACATGAAATGAGAAATTACTTGAGCAAGAACCACTAGAAAAACTGTAAGTCATTTGACAAATTAATTTTTATACCAACATCTTATACTATAGACCATAATAAACTCAACGTGGAGGTGTGACTTGAATATTTGAGGTCACACCATTAATTTTAAAAAAAGAGAGAGAGAACTAGATGAGATATATTTCAAATATGGTTTGGTGGAGAATTCTTAACTAATCAGGAGATAGAGAAGATAATAAAGAATCAAGTAGATAGTTAATGACGTTAAATTTGCAAACAAAATCAATGCAACTAAAAAAGGAATGCATCAGAAGGAAATCTTTGCCTTAACTCTAATAAGGGTCTGACCAAGTACATGATGATAACAAATATTATATAGTATACTAAGTAACTTAATTATATAAGATAAACCAGTATCTTAGTATTGATGTAAAAAATGATGACAGTTCTCACTGTCCATATGTGAGACTTCTTCAAATCACTACTAAGGAAATACAGATCAGAACATCTTTGAGATCTTGCCTCATACCAAGAAAATTGGCAAAAATGACAAAATATGGAATAAATTAGTTGTAGAAAATGGAAAAAGCTAATATGCTGCCAATGGAAATATGAATTAATCTAGCCATTTCTAGAAAGCAATTTTGAATAATACTAAAAAAGTGGCTAAAATATTCGTACGTTTTGACCCAGAGATTATCCCCAAAGGCATACATACCAAGGGGGCCAAAGATAGAAAGAAAAGTCCTGTATACACCAAAATATTCATAGTAACACTTTTTCGGGTAGCAAAGACCTGAAATCAAAGTAGATATCCAGTGCTTGGGGAATGACTGAATAAATTATGGTATATTAATGTAATGGCCTAAGAAACGCAGTTATAAAATATTAAGAGAACCTTCTATTACTCCTAGTTCAGCCATTGGTGCAACTGGAACAAGTCCTTGCCTTTTCTCTTTCCACATAATAGCCATAAATTTTATCTTTTCCAGATAAAAATTTTCTACTTCCTTCCACTAGTCTTCATATGGCACGAAGCTAGTACTTTTCATCATCCTTACTGTGCTCATGAATATTATCCAGCTTATCAATGTCCTTAAAATGTGATATGCCAAACTGAACACAATTGCCCAGTTTGATTTCTCCTGAGAACACATAATACAGGTCCCACTATTGTTTTCTTTTTGGGGGAAGTTGTTATGCTTCTCTTAATGCAACCTAAGATTACAATACCTTCTTTTCTTTTCTTTTTTTTTTTGCTATAGTTATACACTGTTGACTCATTAAGCTTTAAGACTAACACCTCCCCCTGCCTATCTTTTTCAGATGATTTACCATGTCTTGCCTCATTTGCATATATGAGATTGGCATTTTATATCCCTATTAAATTAAGTCTAATTAGATTCTACTCGATATTCTAGGCTGTGAAGATTTCTTTTCTAATCCTGACCCTATCATAAAAAATGCGATTTGGTACAGTGGAAACAACACTACCCCTGGCATCAGAGGACCTATGTTCAGATCCCATTTCTCATCTATGCTGACTTTCTAGTTCTTAGTACACTTTTCGTATCATCTCACCTAGTGTATCAGATACTTCTGAATGCTCTTCAGAATGCTAGAGTTGGATTCAGAGGACCAAGATTCCAGTCTTGGACCTCACATTTACTTCACTGAACAAGGCCCTTAATGTGTTCAGTCCACAGTCTCTTCATTTGTACAATTAAGAGGGTTTTACAAAATAACCCCTGATGTGTCCCAGATATCTCTAAACTAATGATCCTCTGGTCTGTGATACTTCATGTTCATCTGTGATCTTCATGATGGTTTTTTGCTTTGTGTTTATAAGTACTATGAGGGAAGGTGATCAAGGATCCCATGAATGTTACTGGCTTTGAGTACATTATGAAAACCAACTCTCCCAGCTCCTTTACTTGCTCCTCCAAGAGAAGCTATAAGATAGCCTTTAACCACTATGACATCTGTTTTCTAGCAGTGCTTATAATCAGAAGGTCAATATTGATATGGTTCAGCTCCTTTAGTAGTTTGATTTGTTTGTTGCTGGATTATAGGCTGACATTTAAAGTACTAACAGTTAAGTTAATATGATAGATATTGTAAAAATCTGTGATTCTTAATATTCCATCCCCCTTCCACTTTTCTAACTTTATCATGATGGAAGGAAGCCGCATGGGTCTTGAGAATCATTTTTTCCCTTTGTTTCTTGGACTGCTGGGGTCAAAAGAATCATATGAACTTCTGTGCTTGGCTGAATTCACTCTCAGACAGTGTAGAGTCCTGTGGCTTTAAATTATAGGGCAAAAGTTGACCCAGGAGGGAGGCATAATTCAGAAATGAAATTGTGAAGACACATAGATTAACAGTTCTGATGTGGAAGAAAAATGTAGATGTCTGATGGTACTGATATGGATACACAGTGAACGAATCAACCAAACTGGATTTTTTAAATATTTGTACAGGAGATGGAAGCAAAAGATAGGTAACAGAAGATGAATACAAAGGAATGACATAGTTCTTTAAGAAGACTCGGGAGTATTAATACTCAGAATGAATTGAAACTGCCAAGAAAAAGAAAGGACAGCAAAGATCTGGAAACCTCATGACTTAAACTATTCCCTTCCCCCCCTTTTTTTTTTAAGGGAATAGAGTCTGCAGACTATAGGCCAGTAAGCTGGATTTCTTTTCCTGGAAAAAATCGAGTATATTTTTAAAGAGTTGGCTTAGTAGTAATTTAGAAAATGAAACTGATTAGAGAGGAAATATAGATTTGTCAGAAACAAATAATACCTGTCTAATGCCATTTGCTTGTTGAAAGGGTCATTAGACTTAAAATTCAGGGAAATGTAAGCTATTATTTATCTAATTTTATTTTTAAAACATGTGACAGATTTTGTCATAATACCACAAATTTCTCCCAGCAGCAAACAACCCAAACATTACCCATAAAGCAAATTCTTCCCAAAGTTAAGCAAAACTTCCTTATAATGATTGTTAACTGATAGTATATACCACTTTGCACTTTTGTAGTTTACCATTTCTGATGGAAGAAAAGGACTTGTGCTTTTAACTGGAACAATTTGGTATTAACAGTGTCCGCTGAATTTTACTTGAATTCTGTTTTCTTTTAGTGATGTATCACTTCATTTGGATCCTTGTAGTCATTATTTGGTTTAACTTTCTTTGAACACAATTAAAGACTTTGAACTTTGAACACAGTTACACATCTCAAATTCTTCATTTGTTTCTTCAGGATGTGAGATTATTTCATCATAAACATATAATAAAGTAATCCATTTCTCAGTTTTGGAGCAATTTTCTGATTTCTCTAACAACAATAATGCTATTAATGTTTCTTAAAATCTGGGTCCTTTTGATTATTAACTTCCTTTGAGTGTTAATCTAGTTGTGATATTTACTGGTTACAAAGCACTTGAATATTGGAACTAGTTGACTGGTTGGGCTCAAAGTCACTGAAGTTTTGATGTCAGCTTGGAAGGAGTTGGTGTGTCTCCCTGGTCTCTACTAAAATTTTTGTCAGTGACTCGTATGAAAAAGATCTCTGGCTTGCATATTGAATTTGCAGAAAATATGAAGCTAAGAGGAATAGCTTTACATATTGGATGACAGAAACAGAATCTGTCGAGATCTTGGGAGGCAACATATTGAAAAAAGTTTAATAGTAATAACTGTAATGAGTTCCAAAGACCACTTTCACAAGTGTGTGATATGGGAGGTGCAACTCTGATAGCATTTTCCACAATGAAAAAGCTGACCATTTTGGGAGAAGCTCATGAGACAATAGCGTTATTTAGTAGTCCCATAACAAAGGAAATTTTCTGCTTTTAATTATAATAAGTAGGACAAGAAAAGTGATAGACCTACCATGTGTTCAGAACTTACATATATGATTGTGGTCAGTACTGGGTGTCATGTTTTAGGATAGGGTTTGATTAGTTAGAGAATATCCATAGAACAACCAAGATGGCCAAAAACTTTTGAGATCATCAATCATCAGACATTTATTAAATGTTTACTGAGTGTCAACACTGTACAAGACTGATGGTCACATCATATGGTCTGTAGTGGAGAAAATGTGTACACAAATCAGCATTTACAAAAATACATGTTTTGTTATGAGAAAATTCCTGTAGAGATCATGCCACCTAGGGCTCAGTTGAAGACTTATCCTGGGCTGGGGAATGTGGACTAATTGCTTTCAAATATTTCAAAGAGTGTAACATAGAAGAGGGATCAGGCCTTGTTTCCCTTGTACCTTGGAGGGCAGAATTTATGAGCAAAGGGTGGATGTTGCAGATTGACATAAGGAAAAGTTTATGAACCTAGAGAGATATTTGAAAGTAGAAAGGGCTGTCACAGGATTAAGTCTGTTCCTCTTCACAAAAGGTCTTAAAGCAAAGGTAGAGGAGGGGGATCAGATAGCTTCTGGAGTCCCTTCTAACTCTCAGACTCTCTGATCTTTCTTTAAAATGATAGAATTGGCTAGGCTGCTTTGTATGGCCAAGATGACTTTTGTGTGTGACTTTTGATAATTAAAGCAATTTTTATATGATTTTAAGTGTGAACAAATAACCTATTTTACCCGAAAATAATGCATTGAACAAAATTTTACTTAGTTTTACTGATCTGGAGAAATTAAACAATTATCTTTATGTTTGTTTATTTTGGTTTTAAATTACAGGACCGTGTCTATGTCCAGCAAAATAATGTGGAGAATGTCTATAATTTGGGATTAATTATTTTCCGAGATCAAGTTGTACGATATGGGTGTATTAGAGATCACCTCAGGCAAACTCTGTTGGACATGATTGCAAGAGAGAGAAAAGGAGAAGTTGTAGACAGGTATGATGATTTTTTTTTTACCGCTGCAATTTTTAAATTGGATAATATATACAGATTTAATAAGTAGTGACATAATCTTTGAATAAATGTTCTTTGGCTGATCAATTAATGGTCGAAATTACAATTTTGAAAAAATCAAGTGCATTAAATTTCCTTTCTTATGTGCTCTTCTTAAAAAATCAAAAGCTTTTCTTTTAACTTTAAACAGCATAAATATTTTCCAGAAAATAAATTTGTGTATTAGAAAGATTCCTGTAGACACTTGTCCTCCATGTTGACTTTTCATACTGTTTTCATTCTCATACTTCTCTTAACTTGTTTTAGTAGTTTGTTCTCTTGGCCTTTTTCATGAGAAATCCATGTTCTGTTTTTATTATTTCATCTTTTTTCAAATTTTTAAAAATTAAGCCCTAAAGTCATATCAGCTTTTACATTTTTAAATTAAATTCTCTATCAATTTTTTAATTTCATTTCTGATAATAATAATAGCCAGTGTAGCTCTTTAAGATTTGCAAAGCACTTGAAAAATATTATTTCATTTTTATCCTCACAACAACCCTGGAAGGTAAGTGCTGTTATTTTACATTTGAGGAAATTTGAGTCAGGCAGAGGTGAAGTGACTTGGCCAGGGCCCCACAGCCAGTAAGTGTCAGAGGTCAGATTTTAATTCAAGTCTTCCTGACTCCAGGCTTTGCCTTGTACACACTGTGATGCCCCCTAGTCTGCCTCTAGATTGTATTATTGTACTTGGTACTATAGCTCAGATAGAGTGAACCTTACAAGATGGTTCTTTCAGTGTAAAATATGTGACCCTTATATTTCACCGCTGAGGTCAAGACTGGCCTGAAGCAATCTGAAAGGCAATAGAATTTTCTTTTTTCAGTCTAGTAAATAGTTCCCCTATTTATAGCTGTTTGTGTTTTATTTTTAATCCATAGGTATATTCAGATATATTAGGTTCTCCAAGATACATACAGTATCTTAATCAGAGGTGTCTAGAATTTGAAACGGCACATTAGAACTGGTATATATTCCTATGTACATAGTGTGTGCTGTAGTAGTGGCTGCTTGAGTAGACACTATTCTTTTTTCTTTTTTTGTCTTTGTATCATCACCACCTACCATACACCAAGTATTTGCTTATTGATTAAGAATTAATTTTATAACAAAACTTCTTTATCCCTTTTCCAGTAAAAATAAGTTACTTGTGGGAGGCTGTTAAATCAGATTGAAAGTTTCATGAATATAATACATTTTAAATCATTTTGCATGTTTTGATCCTTTTTAAATGTTTATTGCTGTCTGTTGTCTAAACTGTTAAATTTCTTTTTACAGAGGTGCAATAAGAAATGCTTGCCAGATGTTAATGATTCTAGGTCTTGAAGGAAGATCAGTTTATGAAGAAGATTTTGAAGCCCCATTTTTGGAGATGTCTGCAGAATTCTTCCAGGTAAATTAATATTGATGTAAATAAATATTCCTAGAATGTATTCATATGCAAATAGCATAATGCAATTAGGAGCAAGGTTTTCTATGTAAACAAAATATATGGGAAACAACATTCCTTTATGTGGCAAGTAGCACAAAGTATTTTAATAATAATTTCAATGAAATGTTCATTTGTAAAACAGTATTTCAAAATAGGCTGTATAGCTACAGTTATTTTATATTGAAAGTTTCTGTACTGGCCAGTGATAAAAGTTTTGCAGGAGGTGCTAAATGGCAACTTGGGGAACTCAGTTGTTCTTTATAAATATCTGAAGTCTTTGGGCTTTTTTAGCAAGGTACATTGAGAAGATATTTTCTTTGTAAATTTGTGTAAAGATACCTTCTCATCTATCATGTATTTTTCATACTTTCCTTAAAGTTGATCAGATTAGAATTAGAAAGGATTTATAAGCCAGGAGTAGAACTCTTTACAGGGTTGATTTTAGGTTGCTAGACTAATTCCGCTTTAAAGGTATGCTCTTTTGAACTTAAATATTACATTAAAGAACATCATTTCACCTACAGAATGGATTTTTTTTAAAAGTACTGTCATAATTAGGTCCCTTCAACAACTTACATAAAATGTTTATTACACATTTTTACAATATTGTCTTGTGATCAGTAACGTACAAGCCAGAATAAAAACGTATTTATTTTACAGATGGAAAGTCAGAAATTTTTAGCTGAAAACAGTGCTTCAGTTTATATAAAGAAAGTAGAAGCAAGAATTAATGAAGAAATAGAACGAGTGATGCACTGCCTGGACAAATCGACTGAGGAGCCGATTGTGAAGGTGGTTGAGAGAGAACTGATTTCCAAACATATGAAGACAATAGTAGAAATGGAGAATTCTGGGCTTGTGCACATGTTGAAAAATGGAAAGACAGAAGGTACGTTTAAAAAGTATTGAAGTGTTACAAGGTTCTGTAAGTTTTATGAATCGTTAAAATTAATTGTGATTTTTCAAATATTGACGTGGGTTCTTCAGGGGTAATAATAGAGCGTCATTCTGGGATTACTCTGTTATTGATCTTAAGTACTTGAGCTTCTGTGCTTCTGGGGTGTCTGCCTACTAAGAATCTTAGACCTGTCTTAGAAGAACTTTATAATCTCCTGCCTTCTTTTCTCTCTCCATTTTCCCTCCTTCATTTGAGTTTCCCCTTGACAGAGAAAAAAAGGTGAGCTCCAGGATGCTTTTCCTACAAATTTTAAAACAAATAATTGTAAGACATTGATATTTTCCCAAGTTCCTGAGCTTCTCTTTTGTGATTGTTTGCAAATTGAAGCATTGATTTTTTTGTGTGTGTTAATTTTTTTCACAGGAAGTTTAATGAGATTTCAGTAAGGTTGTGGTCAAATATTACTTTTGGGTTTAGTCTTTAGTAGGAAAGTTCTTTGAATTGTAAATAGATAGATAGATAGATAGATAGATAGATAGATAGATAGATAGATAGATAGATAGATAGATAGATTGATTGATTTTGAAGAACACTGAAAGGTAAGACAGAACAATCAGAAACTCTACTTAATAAGATTTGAGAAAAAAGTTAAATACTCTACTTTTTTGAGGTTAGCTGTATTATTGACATTCATGTTTAGATTATAGAATTATATATCCATTATGCCACACTACCTCCTTTTGTCCTTATTTTCCTAAAAGAATGACTTTAGAAAAGACAGGCTACAGAGGCAGTTAAAAACTCAATGGAGAGGTACTATAGGAAGCAATTGCTTTTATGATACTTGCATTGTCATCAAATTTGTTTTTAAATTAATAATTTAATTATAAAAATATACACACAAATGCAACTATCTGATACTTTGTGCTTCCTGTCAAAATAGTCAATAACCATTTTCTGTACACCCTATTTTACTAAAAGGAGTTAGGGAAAGTTTCTAGGTTTATCTGAAACACCCAAAGGATTCATGGAAAAAACTATTTGATTCATAGTAGTAATTGCCTGAGGTGCCAAAGCTGTTCGGCAGTCTGGATGAGAGGTGATGAAGGCTTGAGCTAGTTGGATTAAGATGGTAACTGTTTGGGAAGAGTAAAGGAGAGTGTATACAACATATTTTGGGGAGAGAGAAACAACAAGATATAGTAACTGAGAACCGTCAGGTGCCAAATACTGTAATTGAGTGGTAGTCTCGGATAGTTAATAGAGTACTGAACTTGGAATTGCAAAGAGCTGGGTTCATATCCTTCTTATGCCACTTGAATTTCCTGGGCACATTACTTACTTTTTCATCTATAAATTGAAGAGTTGGGCCTCAGGGACCTCTAAGATCCCTTTCAGCTCTGGATTTATGATCCTTTCTCTGTGTCTCTGACCCTGCTTACTCTCATGCTTGGAATGTTCTCCTTCCTCACTCCCGCCTCTTGGGATTTTTGTTTTCTTTGAAGATTCAGATCAAGTTTTACTTTCTGCCAGAGCAGTGGATAGAATGGGGAAACCTGTACTCAAGAAGACCTGAATTCAAATCCATCCCTAAACACTTACATGTGTGGCCCTGAGCAAGTCACTTCACCTCTGTTTACCTCAGTTTCCTCAGTTACAAAATGGGGGTAATAATAGCAGCTGCCTCCCAGGCTTGTTGGGAGGATCAAATGAGATCATATTTATAAAGCATCTTGCATAGAGCGTGGCTCATAGTAGGGACTATGCAAATGCTAGTTATTGTGGTTATGATTATTCAGTATAAAAATTTTTTTTAAAAGATTTTTCTCATATTTAGTCTAACATTGTACTTTCCCGTTTCTACAAAGGGTGTACCAGGATATGAACTAATCTGAATAGTAAATAGTGCTAATATGTCATTTTTACCTCTGTTGTCGAATAATTTTTCCCTTTCATTGTTGCCTTTTCCATTTACACACAAAATAAAAGAACCATTTGCAAAAATAGGTGCAAGCTATGGAAAACTTTTAATTACGTAAGTACAAATTTAATAATGGGATAATTGGTAGCAGTTCAAGGTGCTTTTGTTTCACAAAATTTTGTTAAGTATATATGTATATAAGTCAGGCTCAAAATACCCATTTTTTAAGCTTGAGAAATTCAGTAGTAGATGTTGTCAGGTTTCTGATTAGGAGATTCTGATTAATTATTTACCAATTTAAGGGAATATTTTAAAAACTTAGTTGATATAAATTAATAATTTAAAATATAATTTTTATATTAGAAGGTGAAAATTGTTAAGCCAAATATGTGGATAAAAATAGATTTATACTGAATAATAGTTTCTATTCCCCATTTTGTTTTTAAAATATGTGTAAAATTATTTTACTAACAGGTTTCTCTGTCTGAATTAACCAAAATAATGAACATTGTCTTGTTAGTATTAATCTATTTAAAATTTTTCCTTTTTAAATAATACATTGAATATATTTCAGGTAATAAATTGATAATACAAGTAATAAGACCATTCTCAAACTATTTCATTTTAAAGAAGAAAAATGTAGTCTTCAAAATATAATTCACTCTAGGAATCTGAAAATTTTGATGGAGTTGCTGCCACCTCCCTCCCCCACACTCCCAACTTCTTAGTAGTCAAATCTTATTGATATTCTTAGCCAACTAAGTGAAAACGCTCTCTGAATTTAGATAGGTTCATCCTTGGTTGATAGCTATCATTGGGCTTGTACAACAAGCTATTCCAGCTACTCTTACTGTCATAGCCTTCAAGAATATAGTGTCACTTAGAGTAGTATTTTATTATAATAATCTTTTGTTAAATTTCAAGTTTCTTGCATTTTAATCTCAGCTATAAAATGGGAGATGTTTATATTCTAAGTGAAACATGATAAATTTAAAGTATAACAAAATCTTATTTTAATACAGGTATTGTGGTAAAATATTGACTGGTTCCCACTAGAGGAGTCTGTAGAGTTACTCTGAGAAGGTACATTCAAAAGCAGATTTTTCTTGCCCTATGAGTTTATAAGGTTAGCAAGGATGAGGAGAAATTTTCAGGTGATGTTTGTCTTAAGCAGTTTTTCACTATCTTTTTCCGTGTGATTCTTATATTCTTTAGCTGATGGTTAGTCACGGTTATCACTTTGTTTTTATTTTCTCCCTAATTGTTATCATAAACATTGTCACCATAACTAAGTTTCATTTATATTTATACCAGTGATATATCCAAAACTAGATATTTATAGCAATGATATATCCAATACTAGAATTAGGGTAGGTAAATTAATAAAAAGTTCTCCTCTAAAATATTGATGATAGCATTTTGAAAGTTTGTTTTGCTGTAATGTGTGTTCTAACTGTGATTTTGAGATCTCTTCCTCATAATTTGACATTTTAATACATTATATAATTTCCTCTTATGGAAAATGAATTTGATTCAGACTTATTTATTTGGCATCTAATTCTGGTTGGATTGTTTTTAATTGCATAAGTGAACATCATAGTGGAGACCACTAATTGCATCATTAATCAACAGTCTTCATAAAATACTTTGTTTTTATTTTTACTCACATTTTTTAAATTTGCTGTAATCAATTTTTTTCTTTCTAATTCTAGACCTTGCCTGTATGTACAAGTTATTTAGCCGTGTGCCAAACGGTTTGAAAACAATGTGTGAGTGTATGAGCTCATATCTGAGGGAGCAAGGTAAAGCTCTTGTTTCTGAGGAAGGAGAAGGAAAGAATCCAGTTGATTATATTCAGGTAAGTATTTGTACTTCTTTATTTGAATATTTCATTTAGCTTTTTGTAAGATCATAACAATAGACACATTTAAGAGTTTATTAAGATCCCTCATGCCTTACTGTAAACAGCTTTGGGTTTGACTATGCCATGAAGGAACACAAGACTGTTAGAATATCTTAAGTATGTGGAGAAAAGTGCCAAATTTGTGAGTCTTGTGTTTTCTGTCAGGGATCTACACATAGCTGATTACTTTGGTTTGCTAATAACTCTTAGCTGGACCTCCTTACTAAAATAAGTACCTCTAAAAATGGAAGTGTATCGCAAAATTTATGAATATTCTAATTGTTTGAGGCATTAGTATTTCAGAAAGAAAACATAATTATGTTCTTAGTGTTTCAGTGACTTTTTTTAACTTCTAAGCAAAACCAGCAACATTATAAAGTAAATTATCATAACTATTTTAGTGTGTGTATATTTTAACTCAAATCACTAACCTCTTTAAACCCTCAGTTTTAATTAATGCCATCATTGTGTTGTATCTAGCTTTATTGTCCAGCCATTAAGATGAATCTGTCATCTCCTCACTGCATGTAATTGTGTATAAAACTACATTGAAGTGCTTTTCAGATCTTTAAATAGAAAATTACATGGGGTGTCCAGCCTGTAGCATCACAGGGTCACAGGATTTGATAGTTGATTCAGGAGAATCCCTGCTGTAACATACCTTACAAATGGTGATCCAGCTCTTTGAAAACTACCAATGAAGTAGAACCCAACTCCTCTTGGGCCATTATATTCCAGTTGTCGGCTGCTGTAACTGATAAGTTTTTCTTGACAATATGATTAAATTTGTCTATGTGATTTTAAAATTACATAAATAATAAATTTTACCTTTTTTTCTTTTTTTTTTACATTTCTAATTGTGCTTCCTTCTGGATTTCCTTCTGTTTTCTTTTGCGCATTTTTAAGAAATGTTTCATTAACATTTATTGGCAACAAGATTGCTAATCCTCAGCCCACACCTTTCTCTTTTTAAAAATTACTCCCAAACCACCCCCCACCATCAGTAAACTTGTAAAAATAAGCATAGTGAAAGAAAATTAATCCACACAGTAAACATGTCCAGAAATGTATGTTTTTTATGCATATTGAGTCTGCATGTCTGTGAGGAGGTGTGTGGGTTATGTACTTCATTATAGGTCCTGTGGAAATGTGATTTGTCATTGTTTCATCAGAGTTCTTGACCTTTTTAAAAAAGTTTTAAATTTGTAAATTTTAAATTTATTTTAAAAGGTTTTTTTTAAAGTTTTTTCTCTAACAGTACAGTTGTCCTTGTATTAATTATTCTGTTGATTTTGTTCACCCTGCATCAGTTTATACTGCCCAGGATTATCTGAAATGTTCTCTTTCATCATTTATTTTCTTTCCTTTTTAATTTATTATTTATTTGTGATTTTTTTTTGAGTTCCATATTCTCTCCCTCCCTCCTGCTCCTCAACCACCCATCCAGAAGGCAAACATTATGTCACTTATAAACGTGAAAGGATGCAGAACATATTTCCATATTAGTAATGTGGGAATAACAAAAAAGGAAAGTGTTTCATTATTTCCTAAGAACAATAATATTCTTAAAATTGTATACCATGGTTTGTTCATCCATTCCCATCCCAATTGATGGAAATCTCACCCCACCCTTTAGATTCTGCTTTTTTCATTCCCAAGTCTTTTGCTTTTGGAGTTTTAGGAAATGATCGGTAGATTTTTCTGTCTTCCCTCTACAAGTTTTATTTACAGTGTCTTGAAACATGGCGTCTTGACTTTTTTAATGATTTTTCTGGAATCTGGTGTTTCTTAAACCATTTCTTCTTGTCTCGCTTGCCAGACCAGTTATATTTGATATGCTATAGCTTACTTTTTTTTTCCTGCCTCAGTCTTAATTTCTCGTTCTAATATTTGTGGCAGTCTCAGAGATTTATTGATTTCTCTTTGATGTATTCTAGTTTTTAGGGAGTCAGTTCCTTAGGAAAATTTTGCTTACCACTTTTTTTGATAAGCTATTTATTCTTTTTCTTTCCCCCAGGATCTTTATCATTTATCTCTTTATTTCTTCTGTGTCTCCATGCAGTCCTTGTGGAAAATCCATTTTTCCTTTGAGTCCCTCTGCTTCTTACAGAGTTATTCTCACCTACATTTGGGGGAATCTCTAGATCTACAACAATTTTGTACACTCAGTGTCTTCTTTGGTTTTCTCATCTGTTCAGCTATAGTTTCTGAAGCAGGGCTTTGCCGGTTCTGGGCTCTGACCTCTCCTGCACTTTTTGGGTCTTTGACCTTGTTTGGTCTCACACCCTCTTCAGGTTTCTGTGCTTACCTCTACTTCCTGACTTTGTGGCACCAGAGGAGCACACTCCTGTCCTGTGGGGGTTCTGTCGTCGTTCTTCCTCCCTCCCCCTTCCTAATCATGGTGTGAAGGCCATTGCCTAGCCCTTCCAAGCTCCCCACCCTGGAACTTTGTGACTTCATCTCTTATGTCATTTTTGCCCACTGCTCCTGGTTCTGCCCTCTAGGGAAAAGGAAAACTCTATTACTTCTTTCACAAGATGTCTCATTCACATGACACCTGTCACATATGTACCTTCTGAGTCTTTCTTTTCTTTGCCAGGCTGCACTTGCCGTGTTCCTTCACTCAGTCCTTACAAGTCAAGGACTCATGACCCATCACCATTTAGATTGTCCTCCAGGCATTCTTCAGCTTAGTAGTGTCATGTCTTTCTTAGACTGTGGTCTCTGAAACTGAGTACAGTACTCCGGAGGAAGTCTGAATTGGGGAGAGCACAATGAGGCTGTCACTTCCCACTTCCTGTCAGCTGTGTACCTATGTTCTCACCATGGCCTGAGATCATATTAGGAGCTTTCGGCTGTAACATCAGAGTGCTGACTCCTGTTGAGCTGGCAGTCCACTTAAACCCCTAGAACTTTTTCAGAACAAATGCTGTCTATCCATTGCATTCCATCTTATATTTTTGAAGGGTTTTTTTGGTTGGTTGGTTGGTTTTTGTAACTTATTTATAGTTGTTGAATTTAATCTTATTAAATTCAGTCCAGTCATCTGGCCTATCAAAGATCCTTTTGGAACATGTTGTTCCCTCTGTTAGCTATCCGTTTCAGCTTTTTGTTATTTTCAGATTAAATGAACATGGTGCCTATCCCTTTAACTACTTCATTAATAAAAATATTAAATAGCATGAGACTTGTTTAACTACAGATATTTCTGCCCATCCATCTAACCAGTTCTGAATCCATCAAATTGTTTTATCACATAGCCTATGGAGTTAAATATTCTCCCCAAGAGTAGTACGAGATACTCTGCAGATGCTTTGCTAAAAACTAGGTGCTAATTAATCGTCTTGTCAGTAAAAGAAATGCAGTTAGTTTGATATGACTTTACATTCAATTTTTCTTCTCAGTTACATGTAAACAAAAATCTGTAACATTTGTTTTTTAAATTTTGAGTTCCAAATTCTTTTTACCCCTCTCCCACTTGAGAGGGTAAGCAGTTTGATATAGATCATAGATGTACAGTCATGTAAAACATTTCCATGTTAGCCATGTGACAAAAGAAAACATAGACCAAAAAACAAGAATAAAAAGGAAAGTTAAAAAAGTATGCTTCAGTTTGCATTAAGACTCCTTTAGTCCTTTTTTAGAGGTAGATAGCATTTTGCATCATGAGTCCTTGAGAATTGATCATCATAAAATATTGCTATTACTACTATGTTCTTCTGGTTCTGCTCACTTCACTTGCATGAATTCATATAGTCTCTCCAGGTTTTTTGAGAGCATCCTACTTGTCGTGTCTTACAGAATAATAACATTCCATCACAATTACATAGCACAGCTTATTCAGCCATTCTTCAAATGCTGGGCATCCCCTTAATTTCCAGTTCTTTGCCACCATAAAAAAAGCTGCTATGAATATTTTTATACATGATAGGTCTTTTTTTTTTTGTTAATTCTTTGGTATGCAGATCTACTAGTTGTATTGTGGGTCAAAGGATAGGCACAGTTTTATAGTCCTTTGGCCATAGTTCCAAATTGCAATACAGAATGGCTTGATCTGTTCACAACTCTACTAACAGTGTATTAGTTTTCCTCCATTACCTGCAGCATTTGTCATATTACTTTTCTGTTATACCAGTCAGTTTGATAAGTGTACAGTGGTACCTCAAAGTTGTTTCAATTTGCATTTCTCTGATCTGTAGTCAGTATGACTTGTTCTTAATGAAACTAGCCTAGCCTTTTGGAATCACTACTTCACTTTTCAGATGTTCATCAGTCGTCTTTTTAATAACCAGTTGTAGAATTTTCTTAGGAATTTAACAACTCTGCCTCCTCTTCTTAGTTCTGGATGACATTTGTCTTTATCCTGTCTTCGGGTATCACTAACTACCATGATCCTTGACATATCTAATTCATTATTATTCACATAATTGATGTCACATTATTATTTCACATAATTTCTCCCCACCTTAAAATATCATGCATGGTGGAGTTGTGAACTGATCCAACTGTCCTGGAGAACAATTTAGAACTATGCCCAAAGGACTATAAAACTGCATACCCTTTAACCCAGCAATACCACTTATAGTTCTATCCCAAAGAGATCATAAAAATGGAAAAAGAGCCCACATATACAAAAATACTTATAACAGCTCTTTTTGTGGTGGCCAAAAATTGTGAGTTATGGGGGTGCCCATCAGTTAGGGAATGGCAGAACAAGTTGTGGTACGTGAATGAAATAGAATGCTGTTGTTCCATAAGAAATGATGAACAGGCAGACTTCAGAAAAACCTGGAAAGACTTGTATGGACTGATGCTGTGTGAAGTGAGCAGAACCAGGAGAACGTTGTACACAGTAACAGCAACATTGTACAATGACTGACTTTGAAAGACTTAGCTCTTCTTAGCAATACAAGGAGCTAAGACAACTCCAAAAGACTGAGTGATGGAAAATGGTTATCCACATCCAGAGAAAGCACTATATGGAGTCTGAATGCATACTGTTTGCTCTCTTTTTTTTCTTGTTTCTTTCTCCTACTTCCTCCCATTGGTTCTAATTCTTTTTTACAACATGAATAATGTGAAAATATGTTTAATATGAATACATATATGTAGAGCCTATATTAAATTGCATGCCGTCTTGGGGTGGGAGGAGGGGAGGAAGAGGGAGAACATTTGGAACTCAGAATGTTACGGAAGGGAACGTTGAAAACTAAAAATAAATATTTTTTTAAATTTGAAATATCATGCATGATATTCTTAATATTGGCAAAAATTAGAATTTATTAAAATGTTGTTTTGTTTTTTTTTTCTTTTGTAAGGGTTTGCTGGATCTGAAGAGTAGGTTTGATCGCTTTCTCCAAGAATCATTCAATAATGACCGGCTCTTTAAACAGACAATTGCGGGTGACTTTGAGTATTTTCTCAACCTCAACTCCAGATCCCCAGAATACCTCTCGTTATTTATTGATGATAAGCTTAAAAAGGGAGTCAAAGGAGTAAGTATGAATACTGTTGAAGCCATGTAAAAACAAAATAGATCAGTAAGTTAAAACAGTGAAAAGACAATTCTTTTTATGATTCATGCACAAGTGCATTTTATGAAATTTTTTATGGATTAGTATGTTATTTTTACATTATGAAACATAAGTACTTTTTATATTTCAATCAGTAGAATAAATATCATGACTGAGCTATAAGACAGCGAAGCTATGGTACATTTTCCTCTGTGAATGAGGCTGTAACTACAACTGTCATGTCTTCTTTTTTGTACATATTTGTCAATGTATATTTACATACGTTGGAACCATTCAGTGGGGTAAAGTTACTCATTCTTAACTCTGCTAGATAGGTGATATACTAGACACATGGTTGATAGAGAGTTATATATTGTGTGGCAGCATCATGTGTTGAGGTAAGGGATAGTCAGTCATCTGCCATTTATTAAGCATCTGCTTTGTGCCAGGCACTGTACTAAGCTGTAGAAATACAAAAAAAAGTTAAAAAACGAACAGAACAGTTCCTCTTCTCAAGGAGCTCACAGCCTGACGAGGGAGACAACATGTAAACAACTATGTACAAACAAGATAGATAACAGGTTAAACTGGGTGTTATCAGAGGGAGGACACTAACATTAAAGAGGATTGTCAAAGCCTTCTTGCAGAAGGACTTTAGGTAAGACTTGAAGGAAGTTAGGAAGCAGAGAGAGTACGTTTAGCCTTTAAAAATGCTCGGAATCAGGAGATAGAGTGTCTTGTGCTAGTAAGAGCCATCAAGGTCAGTGTCACTGGACTGTAGAGTAGTAGGTGGAAGGGAGTGAGTTGTAGGAAGACTGGAATCATGTGTGGTGGGGGAGGGGAGGTGTTATAAAGGGCTTTGAAAGCCAAACAAAAGGTTTTATATTTGATCTGGAGGTAATCTGGAAGTCAAGGGAGTTTATTGAATAGGAGGGTGACAGTCAGCTTTGTGTTTTGGGAAAATCAGTTTGATAGGTGGTTAGGAAGTGGACTGGCATTAGAAGCAGGGAGACCAGTCAGCAGGCTATAGAAATAATCCAGGTGTGAGGTGATAAGATCCCACACTACAGGTGGTAGCAGCGTCAGAGGAGAGAAAAAAGCATTTACTAGAGGTGTTGCAAAGATAGAAATGATAGAACTTGGCTACTCATTGGATGGGGGTGGGGGGGAGGATGAACTGTGGAGTTGAGGATGACATCTATATTTTGAGCCTGGTGTCAGGCTCACCAACCCAATCTGGGTCATTGGATGATAGGTACAGTAAGGAGGTTAGTTAGAGGGGAGAAGTTAGAAGGAAAACATAGGTTTAGTTTGGGACATGGTGAGTTTAAGGTGCGTATGGGATATCCACTTCAAGATGTTCAAGGTGTCTCCAATTGGGCCAGCTAGGTGGCACAGTGGATAGAGCAGTGGCCCTGAAGTCAAGAGGACCTGAGTTCAAATCTGGTCTCAGACTAGACACTTGATGCGTACTAGCTGTGTGACCCTGGGCAAGTCACTTAACCCCAATTGCCTTTAAAAAAAAAAAAGTCTCCAATTGCCATTTGGAGATGCAAAACTGGAGGCAGGGAGAGAGTTTAGAGCTGGATAAATAGATCTGAGAGTCATTTGCATTGAGATGATAGTTGAATCCATGGGAATTTATGGGATCATGAAGTGAAATACTAAAGAGGGAGGAGAAAAGCAGGCCCAGAACAGAGCCTTGGAGGACATCTACTGTTAGCTGGTGTGACATGGATGAAGATCCATCACAGGAGACAAAGAAGTGGTGGTCATATAGATAGGAAGAGAAATAGGAGAGAGCTGTGTCATCAGAGCCTAGAGCATGGGTAGGGAACCTGTGGCCTCAGATTCCCCACCCCTTGCCTGAAGGAAAGAGTATTAAGGACAAAAGAGTGATCAACAGTGTCCTAAGCTGCAGAGAGGTCAGAAAGGATGGTGACTGAGAAAAGGCCATTAGGTTGGACAATTAAGAGATCATTGGTAACTTTGGAGAGAGAGGAGTTTTAGTTAAATGATGAGGCTGGAAGCCAGACCACAGAGAGTTAAAAAGACAGTAAGAGGAAAGGAAGTGAAGGCATCAATTGTATACCTCCTCAAGGAAGTTTACTGTAAAAAGGAGAAGAGCTGTAGGACAACAGCTAGTAGGATTGGGATGGCTCAAGTATGAGGTTTTTTAAGGATGGGGGAGACATGGGCATGTTGTAGGCAGTAGAGAAGCAGCCAAGAGACAGGAAATGATTAAAGATAAGTAATAGTGAGAGCAATCTGCTGAAGAAGATGGAATGGAATGCATTCACTTGTACATGTAGAGAACTTTATCTTGGCAAGGAAATAGGTTACCTCTTCATGTGAAAGAGACATGAAGGAAGAGATAGTGACTTAATGAGATGAGGAGAGGATAAGAAGCTCTTTGCAAATGGCCTCTTTTTTCAATGAAATATGAGGCCAGGTTCTCAGCTGTGGGGGTGGAAGGAGGAGGAGCCCGAGGAAGTTTGAGAAAGGATGAAATAATTTTGATAGGAACTAGACATTGATCTCATTATTATCAGAAACTCCCAGATGAAGAAACCAACTTTGGTTCAGCACTTTGTCTACAATATAATCTTAGCGAATTGCCAAGAGCGCTGGGAAATTAAATGATGTTCTGGGGGTGCCCATAGCCAGTATGATTCAAAGGTGGGCCTTAGACCTCAGTTTTTCTGGCAACAGGGCCAGCTTTCTGTCCACTCTTTCAAGCTGCCTCAATATTGTTGGATCCTTTTAGGACTCCTAACTGTTGTTGCCTAAGCTAGGAAAAGAGGAATAGGAATACAAATCTAATATATGGGCATTAGTTCTCACATGGTTGTGATAAGTCAAGAAAATAGTTTTGATTTTTTTATATTTGTACCTATTTTTATCATGAGGAATGAGAGATTGCTGTCGGTTTTGAGAACACGAAGTTAACTCATTTGGTTTTCCCACGTTCTGTGGAAATAGATGAAGTCAGAAGAATAAAGTTCCTACTAGAGAAACATCTTCTGTAGCATTTAGAAAAAAGTATTTTGTGACTCTCAGGTAGACCGGATTATTGTTGAGGGAGGAGGGAGAAATGAGGAAAATGTGCATTAGTGGTAAAGTACGTATGAAATGCAAAGAAGGAAACATGCTAAGTGCAGCTATAGTTGCCTGATATACATGGAGCAAGAGGTTCCCTTTTAGGCATTGGGATCCCTATGTATTCGTTAGTTATACACTTAAATTTATGTGGTAGTTTTGTTCTTTTCATAGAAATCAAATTTTTGAATTCTTTCAATTAATTTTACAGCTTACAGAACAAGAAGTAGAAACAATATTGGATAAGGCAATGGTCCTGTTTAGGTTTATGCAAGAGAAAGATGTATTTGAACGTTACTATAAACAACATTTGGCCCGAAGACTTCTTACAAATAAAAGTGTTTCTGATGACTCAGAAAAAAATATGATATCTAAATTAAAGGTAAGATAGAATATAGCATCATCAACATTTAATACAAATGTTTAACACAGGTAACATGTGATTGTGCACATGGCTATGTGTGTGTGATTGAAAACATTTTTAAGTGAGCTTTTAATTTGTAAATTTATTTTTTTTCTCCTTGCAATTAACGTAGCTTGTTCCCTAAGATGCTTTTCTAGAATTATTAAAATTCTAAGAATCCCAGTGCCCTTTCTCATTCATTTAGTGCTGCTTGAATACTCTTCAATCCATTCTGTACTCCCCCCAGATCACTGGATTTAGTAGAGGTGATTCGCATTTCAAAAGCTTTATCTCGCCACTGTTTTCCTTAAAGTAAATTAATAGAAATTAGCCCTACTGTTGAAAGGCATTTCATATTTAATTTTCTGTTAAAAGCTTGAGAGTTGTTTTAATGAATAAAGATTGTTATTGCATATGTGTCCTTTATTTCCAAAGACTGAATGTGGATGTCAATTCACATCAAAACTGGAAGGAATGTTCAGGGATATGAGCATCTCAAATACAACTATGGATGAATTCAGGCAGCATCTACAGGCTACAGGGGTGAGACTCTACTTTTGTTTCTCTTGTATATATCTGTTTGTCTTTCTGTATGTATGTATCTATCTATTTTTACATAAATTTTTTCATAGTAAACATTTTGCTTGGTAAGTAACATAACCAAAGTCTTCTCCTTTGAGAGTGAGTTAACTTTATTTTACTTCTTAAGAGCTGTAAACATTTATTTGTTTCCTGGGTATTGAGTATTAAATATTGAGTATTTTTTCAAGGAATTTTCATAGCTCCCAAAACTTTTCAAAAATCTTTGATTATTCCTTCAAGATAAAAAAGCCTTTGTTTATAACTCAGTTTCTTTTGTCATTTAAAAAAATTTATTCTGATCAAAATGTTATAAAATTGTTGCTAATACCCAACAGGCATGTTGTAGAAAAAATATTTCTAGAAAAAAAGAGTGAGACCTAGCTTTTTGTCAGTTAGTCCTAAGCATCATTCCTCTAAACCGTGTCATCTCATACAAACCACCTTTTGTCACTCCTGTCTGTAAAATCCGAATAAAGGTGAAACTAATTTATTTATACTTAAATGGGGATGTTCAAATAAATTGAGAACACTTATTTTAATTGGTTTGAAAAAATTAAAATACTATATATCATCTAGAGGACATCATCTAGGGGAATCTAGATTATAGTACATATAGTACATATAGTACATGATAGAAATGGTATTACTACAATAATGCTCTAGCAGTTTATTATTAATAATTGCTTATGGAATGGAAAACCATTTAAGTGCTTACTGTGTGCTAAGCATTGTCTAAAATAAAACCTTTCAGATTTGTGGCTAAAACTTTTAAAAATAATGTAGCTTCCTTAACTCTCATCTGCAATAATTCTGCAAAGATTTTAAGGCTATTGTTATTCAGATTGCTTTGCACTGCATAGGCTTAGGGTGAAGTCACGTCATACCCAACATTCAGCTTAACTCCGCATTCTTTGAGGTTTATACTCATGAGTAAATATCACTTGAGATTGTATACATTGGTTATAAAACTGCCATTTATAAATATTTTACGATATAGTCCATTTGGATTTAAGGCAGAACGACAGCTCCAAGTAACAAACTTAGTTACTAATAATTTTTTGATGCTAAAACAAAGGATAGTAATAACTTGTTTCATTTAGATGAACAAAAGAATCTATAAACTTTCAAGAGAAAGAGGAACAAAGGGGGCAGTAGCAACTTTCAGACCTTAAATTCTGTGACATCTGTAATCATGAAAACATTTTGTTACTGGTTCAGAAACAGAAAAATAAATCACTGAGCAAGGGTTGGCAAAGAAATATTTTTAAAAAAATAGAATTCAGTGTTTGACAAACTTGGGAAAGAACTGCCTCTTTGGCAAAAGTTATGAGGAAAACTAGAAAGCAGTCCTGTGGCTTGTACCACCCTCTTATGCCATCCTCCATAGTAAACTGAAAATGAATTTGTTACCTGAATACAAAATATCATACCACAAGCAATCTATGCCAAGATGTGACATAAGCATCCCATTCCCCTTCATTCAAAGTCCATCTCAGAACTGGTCGGCTGTGCTGGAATTGCACAGTAGCATATTGACTGTTTAACTTTGGAACCCATACTGTATTTGACTGAGGCACCCCAAAAAAATTTTTTTTTTTACCCCAAAGGAGCTAGTCTGGGATAGTACCCTGAGGTAGTATTTGACTATACCAGGGGTGGGGAAGCTGTGGCCTCAAAGCTGCAGCTTCCTACCCCTGGACTGTACCAAGCATAAGTAAACACAGAAAGAGATTGATTTATTACATCTCCCCAACTTCCACTTTGGTGAGAGGAGGTCTGATCAGACCAAGTTGGTTCACATTAGAGTTTCATTATCAAATTAGAGGCATTCTCAGATACTAGGGTTTTGTGGTTTTGTTGGGGGGGGGGTGTTCAATTCATTCTTGGATTTGCTCAATAATTATTTATTGACTATAAAACAAATGTTTTCATGTGTTGCAATTTCTTGATGTTTAAGCTAATAGTGAAACTTCTCTAGCCCTTTCTGCTGTAATTATTAATATAGTATTTATGATGGAGAAGGGAGATAAGGAACAGAAGAGATTTGGTGTCAAGATAAATAAGATTAGACAGTGTTTTATACTGTAAACACCATTTCTTTCTCTACTTTTGGAATTTGTATTGATACATTTAATAAGCATTTTTGAGGCATACCAATTTTCTGTGTGCTACCTACCACCCCCCCATTGATTATTTATTTCTTTCTTTCATTAAAATTTTTTTGGGTTCCGAATTCTATCCTTCCTTCTACTCCTCTCCCACCCATTGAGAAAGCAAGAAAGGTGGTATCAGTTACACATGTGAAATCCTATAAAACATTTCCATATTAGCCATATTGCCAAAAAAAGAAAAGAAAAAGAAAGAAAGTTAAAAAAAATTATGCTTCTCTGTGCATTCAGACCCCATCAGTTTTCTCTCTCTGGAGGTAAATAGCATTTTTTTTTATCATAAGTACTTTAGAATTGTCTTGGATCATGTATTGATTAGAATAGCTATGTCATTCACCGTTGATCAACATTACAGTTTGCATTTACTATGTACAGTGTTCTCCTGCTCACTTCACTTGGAGTTGAGTGAAAAACCCGAGAGACAAGAGTTCCAGGATAATTACTAACCAATTTATTAATTAGGCCAGTGAATAAATAAATTGATGGGTCTGATGAATGCCTTAATTTTTTTTAAAGGTGATGCCCCTGACAGGAGAAATCAACCCTGATTGGTAGATATTTAAAGGAGGGGGTGGGATAAAAGTCTTCAGCTCCTCCTGCTGAGAATCATGAGATTTAGCTGCCTGTAAGCAGTATGGAAAAAGAAATCCGTATCTGCTCACTACTCTGGTTTTCTCCTTCATGAGCTGGATCACCCTAAACTGCAGTGTTTAGGGGTACAGGGGCATGAGTTCATCGCTTTGGGCAGAAATTCGCCTAGCTTAGATTCTGTTTAAACAGAAATAAGGTCTCCTAGTTGAGTGGGCATCCTCCCAAGATTAAGGAGCATATTCTCAGAGGATTTGGGAAATCTTATCTATCAGCTTTGTCCTTCAGAGAACGACCTATGGGGGCTTGTCCCTGGATGAGGAAATAAAGAGAAAAATCCTCAATCCTAATATAACAAAATAAAAATTTCTCTAACTTTGTATCAGTTCATACATGTTTTTCTTAAACCATCCTGCTCGTTATTTCTTGTGTGTGTGTGTGTGCCACCTATCTTGAGTGTGGGAAGGACAGGTTATAAACATCTGATTTATTAATCTATATACCTTGATTCACATACATAGTCTTCCCTAGGGTTCCCTTCTTTTCAGAACTGCAAGGGTGTTTGGTATTATCATGCTGTAGATATATGAATGCATATATAGTGAGAGAGAGAGAGCAAAGAAAATAAAGACCGGGGCGGTGGGGGGCACTAGGGTTTGGTAAATAGGAAGCTGTTGATGTCCTTGGTTAGTAGATGTGGAAGCCAAATCATAAGGGATTGGAGATAATGGGTATGAGCCCATTTTTTGAACAAGTTTGGTTGTGAAATGAAGTAGAGAGGTGGAACATTAACTGGATGGAATAAAGATGCATCAAGGGCAAGCTGCTTAGGATTGAAGACTACTGAACATGTTTGTAGGCTAAGATAATGAACCAATGTAGCTTGGAGCATAAGGTATCTGAGTGTCTTGAATGCAGTGCTGGAAGAGGTACTGAAATGGAGTCAAGACCCCAAGATAAATTAGCTTTCTGTGAGGAGGAACAGTGGCTAAAACTCTGAGATGGAAAAGTAAAGTGAAAGAATGAATGGTTCTTCCTCAGTTAAAAGTGATCATTATTAACCTCAGATTTTTTTGTAGCGCTTCAGAGTTCTCATTTCTCTTTATCACATTCTACATTCTGTTAAAGTGCATTTTTAAAATTTGTGATTTGGAGCATTTTTTTCATGTGCTTTTAGATAGCTTGCATTTCTTCCTTTGGGAAATACCCATTCATATCCTCTGATCATTTCTCTATTGGAGAATGGCCCTTGTTCTCATATGGTTGTCTCAATTCACTGTATATCTTGGATATCAAGCTTTCATCAGAGAAATTTGCTTCAAAGATTTTCCTCTGGTAATATTACTTACTCTTCTGTTAAAAAAAAATATAACTTCAAAGGTAAGATGGAGAAATTCATCTGGAAAAGATGAAGGGTTTTCAATGACCTAAAAGCTAAAGTGTGAACATGATAGGAGAGCTAAGAAAGTTAATGGAATCTTGGACTGAATTACAAGAGGTGTTAGCATCCAGGAAAAGAAAGGTAATATAATCCTGCTGTATTTAGTCTGGGGAGACCATATGTGGACTATATGTTTTTTGAGTACAACATTTTAGGTGTGACATTCCAAGTGAATGGCAACCAGTATTCTGAAGGGTGTTCAGGTCATATTATATAAGGATCACTTGAAGGAACTGGACATCTGGGTATCTTTGGCTTGGAGAACAGAAAACTCAGGGTAGTAGATTCCTCAGGTATTTTAAATTTTATCCAGTAAAAGAGTTCTGCTTGGTGCCAAAGGAAAACAAAGAACAGTGGCTAGAAGATACAGAAAGACTAATTTAAGTTTAAAACTTACTAATAATTAGAATCTTTCAAGAAGGAATGGACCTCATCAACTGGGGAACGTTTGAACAAGTTGCAGTATACGATTGGGATAGAATACTGTTGTGCTGTAAGTAATGACAGGCAGAATGGTTTCAGAAAAACCTGGAAAGTCTTATATGAACTTTTGAAAGTGAAGTGAGCAGAATCCAGAAAACATTGTACACAGTAACAACTGTATTATAATGATGATCCACTGAGAAAGACATAGATACTCTGATCAAGACAGTGATCTAAGATAATTGCAAAGGACACATGATGAAAAATGAACTCCAGGGAGAGAACTGAACTCTGAGTGGAGATTGAAAGATACTTTTTTTTTTGCTTTTTTAATTTTTCTTGTTTTGTATGTGTGTATGTGTTTTTTGGTTTTTTTTGGCAACATGGCTAATGTGGAAATGATTTCACGTGTATAATTGATACCATATTGCTTGCCTTCTAAAAGGTGTGGGGAAGGTGGGAGAAGGAAAGATTTTGGAACTCAATTTTTTTAAATGAACATGAAAAGAATTCTCAATTTAATTAGGAAATATTTAACAAAATAAACGTTTTAAAATAAAAAAAAATTTGCCATCTAGGGAGAGCTGTTTGGATCTACTTTAGTGAAATTATTTTTTTCCCATAAAATCACGCTAGACAGTATAAAAAAACCTGAGAGTACACCTGCCAAAAGAAAATTATAAGAATACTTTGCAGGGCCAGTGAGGTGGCACAGTGGATAGGGCACCAGCCCTGGAGTCAGGAGGACCTGAGTTCAAATGCAGACTCAGACACATAATACTCATTAGCTGTGTGACTCTGGGCAAGTCACTTAACCCCAGTTGCCTCAACCAACACCCCTACCTCCCAAAAAGGCAAAAATATCAAAGGAACTAATGAAAAAATGTAAAGGAAGGAGGTTTAGTAGTAACCAATCTTGAACTATATTATATGGCAGTAATTACCAAAACTATCTGTTACTAAGAAATAGAAAGATAGGTCAATGAAACAAAGTAGATATAAAGTTTACAGCAGCAAATAGTAACCTTCTGTTTGACAAATGTAAAGACTTAAGATTTGGGGGTAAGAATTCATTATTTGGTAAAAATTGTTAAGAAAACTGGAAATCAGTATGGCAGAAACTGGGTATAGAGCAGTGTCTTAAAACATTTACCAAGGTAAGGTCAAAATGGATACGTGACAATAGATAGAAAGATATGAGATATAAGAAAATTTGGAGAACATGGAACATACTACTTAGACTTGTGGATAGGTGAACAATTTATCTACAAACAATAGAGCAGAGTAAGGTATAAAATGGATCATTTAAATTAGAACAAAAAAAGGTTTTGTACAAATAAAACAAATGTAGCCAAGATCAGAAGGAAAGCAGAAAATTGGAGGGGAAATTTTGCAGACAGTGTCTCAGATAAAGATCTCCTATTTCACATGTGTGAAGAACGTTATAAAATCTTTGAGAATATGGACAGGCAGTTTTCCAATGCAGAAATCCAAACAATTTACAGTCCTATGAAAAAGTGCTTTAAATCATTATTGATTAGAAAAATGCATATTAAAACAGCCTTGAGATATCATTTTATACCTATCAGATCGGCTAAAATGATTGAAGAGGAAAGTGACAATTGTTGGAAGGGATATGGAAAAATTGGGACGCTAATTCATTGCTGGTAGAACTGTGAACTGATGCAACCATTTTGGAGAACAATCTGGAATTATGCCCAAAGAGTTATGAAACTGCCTAAATCCTTTGACCCAGTAATGCCACTACAAGAGTCTATTTCCAAAAATGGTTAGGTGAAAAGGAAAAGATCCTATGTGTTATAAAATATTTATAATAACTCTGTGGTGGCAAAGAACTGGAAATCGTGGAGAAGCCCATCAATTGGGGAATGGCTGAACAAGTTGTTGTACATGAATGTGATGGAATACTGCTGTACTTTAAGAAATGAAGAGCTCCATGATCTTAGAAAAATTCTGATAAACTTGCATGAAATAATGAAGAATGAAGTGAGCAGAAATAAGAGAATGTTGTATACAGTAACGGCAATATTATTTTAAGAACAACTTTAAGTGAATAAGTTATTATAAATACCCAAGTTAACTAAAAGGACATATGAAGGAAGATGCTACCTGCATTCAGAGAAAAAACTGATAAGTAGAAGTATATATAGTATGAGTTTATATATAAATACATGTTTGTATCTAATGGTAGCCACAGGGCAGGTGGGGGTAGGGGAGAAAAAAGAGCTTTACATGATAACTTTATTATATATTTAAAAGGAATAGCAAGTTGTACATAATACATATACAGGTCCTTATGCAGTCTTTTTTATTATACTACATTATGGAAATATTTGTTTTATTCCATAAATTAAAAATAAAATGTGTTTTTTAAAAGTAAGTCTTCAACCATAGTTGTCAATCACTTTTTCTGTTATGACAGAATTCTTTTCATTTGTAGGTTGGAGTACCTTTTAACTGTGAAAGTCTGCAATTCTCAAGCTTCCAACAATTCCCCCATCCCTCTCTTTCCTAAACGCCAGTCCCACATTATCAGCTACTGCTAGATATCTCATAGTAGTCTAATAGGCATCTCAAACTCAGTGATTCCACAGCAGAATTTAATATTTTCCCCCTACTCTTCCATACTTCTGTTTCTTTCAGAGCACCACAATTCTCACAGCAACAACCCAGGTTGATTAGCCCAGAAATTACTAATTTCTTGCCTTCCCACATCACATATATCTCATACATCTGGTAAATTGCAAAGACTTGTTGATTAGAACCTCCACAATCTCATAAATCCATTACATTTTCTCTAATCACACAGTCACCTGCTGATTACTAATGCAGTAGCCTCCTAACTGGTCTTCCTGCTTCTAGGCTCTCCCATCTCTAATTCATCCTCCACACAGTTGTCAAAATAATCTTCCTAGACAGAAGTCTAACCATATCACTCCCTTCATTAAAACCTTCGCTGGTTTCCCAGTAGCCTGGCGTTTTAGGCCCTGTATAATCTGGCTCCCAGTTACTATTTTACTGGCTCCCACTACTACTGTTTTACTCCGTGTAACACTCCCCTTCATGAACTTTGTTCTAATAAGACTTGACATTCCCAACTCCCATCTGGGAATGTGTGTAACCCATTCCTTCAGGCCTAGATTACACTTTCTGCTCATCTCTATTTCCCTAAATCCTTATATTCCTTCAAATCTTAGTGGATCCTCCAGTCCTCCTAATTGTTCACCCTGACTTATTCTTGTGAGATACCCAATTTTATATCGTATTCCTCCAGAAGGATGCAAACTCCTTTGAGCTCAGGAATTGTCATATTGTCATTGTATCCTGAACAAAGTGCTGTAAAAATAGGTATTTTAATAGTCAGATTGTGACACTTAAATGAGCTTGAATAATATAGCTAAAAATATTTTTCTTTCAAACTTTATTGTGAGGCTTGTACAAGGTATCAAGAAATGGAAAACTTGACTAAGTGGTTTGAAATGTTGAATTGAGATGAAAAGGATTTCTGTTATATTTGTACTTCAGGGTTAGGGGCTGCCATGCTGTATCTAAAATTTCAGCAGAAAGTAGAAATAACTGTAGAAACATCTTGGAAGAAAGAAATCATTGTGATACCTTGACAATCTTGTTTAAAATCTAAGTAAAGCTTCATGGCCTTATAATAATTTTGTTTGCAATACTACAATGTTTTACTTTTTCCCTACCAGCATTGACCGTCAGTTTTAAACTGAAACTTAGTTCTCTATAAATACTCTCTTTTATAGCATTCCTTGACTGTTCAGTATCTGTCAGATTCTACTTCTGCTCTTACCAACATTATCTCTTCAGATAAAGTAAATGCTGATAGACTTTTAAAAAGGTCAAGTCTAGTAGACAGAGTAGGGGAAGGTCACAGAATTCAACAGTAGATATTATGTTCCTGTTATGTGGTCTATTTTAGGCAGAAAAAATTGTGCTTGTGTATGAAGATGGGATGTTAAGTAAGTCATCTTAGAAGTGAGAAATCTACTGTGCCATGTGCTTCTTAACTGTTTTAAGGCAGGCCTTCACTGTATTTAATTGGAGGATATAATTAATTCTAATTAAAATTTGAGGTATTTTTCCCCCATTGTGCATAGGTATCATTAGGTGGTGTTGACCTCACAGTTCGAGTTCTCACAACAGGATACTGGCCCACTCAGTCAGCCACACCAAAGTGCAACATCCCGCCAGCACCAAGACATGCTTTTGAAATATTTAGAAGGTAAATACTAAAACAAGGCTTTGCATTTTCAGTACCTATACTGCTTCACCTTGAAATAAGTTTAAGATTTAGGAAAGCATACAGATTAAATGCTTTTTTTTTCCCTTTCAGTGTGTAGTAAACATTAAATTTGATCTAAAATGATAGAAGTCAGTAAGACTGAAGAACCAGCAGTAAGATGAATAGTTTAGAGCAGTATATCAGTAGTGGGGAAGGGGCTTTTTTAAGTTGGCATAAATGAAAGCTCTTGAAGAGTTCACCAACTCCAGTGTTATTGATGGAACTTAAAACAGTGGTGTTCAGAAAGTCTGCACGTTCATTTTATGCTGGTTTCTTTTTGCATGTAATAATTTATTGGTGCCTTCTATTTGATGCCTTTTTATTTTAATCTGCAGGAATACATGGAGGCAGAGCCATGAACTCAGTAGTATTTTATCTGCTACTAAATTATAACACAATAGCTATTTTAAGATAGTTTTCAATTGTTATGGTGGAATATGACCTGAGCAATAGTGCCTTTGCAACAGAACGAGGACTATGCGTCTGTGGAGATGACCTAACATTCTGTTCTTTCATATGCACTAGTATGTGACTTGGAGCAATACAGTTAATAATCTGTTTGGCCATTGGTTTCCTCAGTTACAAAATAAAAAGATTAAATTGAATGAACGCCACGGTTCTTCCCAAGCCCTAAAGAAACCTTTGCCATTTACCTTCACTTTTATGTCCCTTTTTTTCTTTCCATGGCTACATAGGCTTGTCTGGGGTCATTATCCTTTCTTTTTAAAAAAAAAAAAAGTGTAAATTAAATGAATTAATTTACTTTTTTGTTGTGCTGTAGGTTTTATTTAGCCAAACACAGTGGTCGGCAACTGACACTCCAGCACCATATGGGTTCTGCAGATCTCAATGCCACCTTTTATGGACCAGTCAAAAAGGTAATCATTTGAGCATTTATATATATCCATATCAAATAATTTAAAATTTTAAAAATATAATCTATGAGGTAAATTATGTGGTTAGCTTTCATTTAGTTATATAGGCAACAGATGTACATCATGCAAATTCCTAAGGGGGCTGGTAGGTGGGAACCTGAGTTGTCTTTGTTCTCTTCCCTCAATTAACTTTTTCATTTTAAAAACACATTTTTTGCTGTTAGTCAGCCCTGAGGTCTAAGTGCTAACAATTTCCTAAGACTAGTAATTCTTATAGAAAGCACATTTTTTTAATCATGTAGGCATTAGAGAATATACATTTTTAAAATGTCAAATTCACCAAAGGTGACTTTAGAATTCTTAGGTTCCAGTAACCCTGAGTGCTCATGAGCTAGATAACTTTGCAAGTAAAGAAATAAGTTGAAAAACTGTAAAATAATTATAGGAAATTAGGAAAACTTAGTGAATCTATTAATTTTAATTCAGAATTAGGAGATTGAGTTTATTTTATCTACTTTCATAAGTTTGTTGCTTGCTTTAAGTAGGCACCTCAAAGAATTTTATAAAAATTTTTAAAAAAGGATTGAGTTTAAGAATAGCAGTTCACGTTACTTTAGGTAAAAGTTTTGTCTTTTTTTTTTCCAACTAGTCTGTAATGTAAGAGAGGCACATGGTTTAATGAACAGAGAGCCAGTCTCAGAGCCAGGGAGACCATTGTTGAAGTCCTACTTCTGACATACACTGAATTAGTAACCCTGAGCAAGTTACTTAACCTCAGTGCCCTCAGCAGCACCTTTAAAATGATAAGGGGGGAAAATACCAACTTGCATGGGAGAGTTTCCTCACCCAAGAATTCCCTATGCTAGTGAAATCATGGATCAGTCTCTATCTCTATAAAATAAATTTAGAATTGCAAAAATAGTATATGGCTTTAAATAAAACTGTGTTCATTTATCCTTAAAGCAGTGACTTTTCAAAATCCATTAATCATATGAATTTCAAATATTTGTTGAAATAAGTAATACATGGGACAGGTAGGTGGCGAAGTGGATAGAGCACCGGCACTGGATTCAAGAGACACATAACACTTACTTACTAGCTGTGTGACCGTGGGCAAGTCACTTAACCCCCATTACCCAACAACCAAAAAAAAGAAAAGAAAAGAAATAAGCAATACTTCTTAAGATAAATTGAAGCATGCTTACCGTTCAGGCATGAAATAACCTGGGGATTACATAGACTCTGTAAATAAGTTGACCCTCTTCAGTGTTTGGAAGATGGAATTGATTTGCTAATATATTTTAAAAGAAGACTTTTTTATTCTTTATCAAAATTAAGTCAGGTAAATATATAAAATAAGGAACAAAACCTTACATAAACCTTAAATATTTAACAATATTAATGGCTTTCCTTTTATGTTTTTAATATGCATATAATTCTAGTTGTGCTGATTTTTCACTCAGGATCACCTTACATAAGTCTTTCCATATTTCACTGAGTACTTCCTATGTATGTTTTTATGGAACCATCATATTCCATTACAATAATAACTATAATATATTCATCTAGTTTCCAAGTTTGAGACATACAAGTTGTTACCAGTTTTTGCCATCACAAATGGAATGTTTACTAACATTTTGGCACAGGTGTTTTTTCCTTGTTTTGTTTTGTTTTGCAAGGATTGAGTCTTTGCATTATAATCTGTTTGGTGAAAGGTATGGTCGATTTTGAGACTTAGTGCATATTGCTGCATTGCTTTCCAAAATTTTTATATCAATTTTTGGTTCTGCTAACAGTAAATTCCTATTCCACCATATCCTTAATATTTATACAATTATTTTTGCAAAAATAGCTATAAGATTGTAACTTACAGTTGTCTTGATTTGTACTTCTGAATGGATTTTTAAGATTTTACTTTTAACTGACCCATAAACTTCTTTTTACCAAAAGTTGCTGATTAACATTTAAGTTGTAATTAAATATTCCTTAAAATATTTCTTATGTATTAGGTTTTTATTGATTTTTTTTCTCCCATAAAATGTAAGAATAAATATATTGGTCTTTTTCTAAAATTACTTATATGAATGATTTTTTTAAAATCAGTACATTTCTTAAATATGTATAGAAATCTTTAGGTCTTACACTGCTCATTCTTAGTTCTTGAGCCAGAGACCTTTTCCGTTACATAAGATTTTTTTCCATTTCATTTTTTGTAATTTATGTGTCAGCTATATAACCAATGCATTATTTCCTAATAATAAAAGTTCTGTTTTCTTAGTTCTAATCATTTGTATTATGTCTCAGGTAAAGTAACGATATCTATGAAATTGTTGGCTCTTCTTGTAAGAATGAAGATTTTATACTACAGAAGTAATAGCCATTTAAAATAGCAAACAGGAATTTTAAAATTAATTTTATTATTATATTTTTATTAAAAAAAAATAGGAAGATGGATCAGAAGTTGGTGTTGGAGGTGCCCAAGTAACTGGCTCTAATACACGGAAGCACATATTGCAAGTCTCTACTTTCCAGATGACAATATTAATGCTCTTTAATAATAGAGAAAAATATACATTTGAGGTATGATTTACAATTATGTCAATTTTAACTGGTATCATTTTTAACTTGTTAGATGACAGTGACTGAGTCTTATGTAAAACTGCCTCTCTTTCATGCTTTAAGGAGATTTGCATAAAACTGTACTTAAGAATGTTTGAAACATTATCCTAGTATTGTTCATTTGTGAAGTTGGTTCTATTACAATTCTTTTTTTCAACTCGCAGTTCCTAGTTAGAGTACCATATAAGAATGAAGATTCAGCAAGACATGTCTTTCGTGGTGCTAAACCAACTCACCCTATTCTTGTGATTAAAGACTACAGTAAGCCATTAGACATCACACTCCAGTCATTCACTTCCTACTTTGTCAAAATATATACTTTGGTTACTTAGTGTAGGACTCCTTTGCCTTTTAAATTGCTTCCTGTTGTTTTCATTTGATTCCTTTTTTAGTTAACATTAATTCCTTAGAATTGGGAATTGGTGTCCTACACGGAAAAGTTACTAACTTATTCGATTGTACTTTCTTTGCCGATAAGTAGTCTGTCTCCTTATCTTTCTTATCTTTTCTTTCTCTCCTAATCCCTCCCACCACACACACACACACACACCCTAGTTTTATATACTACCTATTTCCTGTTTAAAAATTTTCTGTCCTTCACAGTATTTAAGTAGTTTAGATTTACTACTTCTTAATAAAGTGATTTTAAATTATCTTTTATTCCATTTGAAAAACTGTCATTAGTAATAATCTTTATATAGTATTTATAATTTTTAAAGCCTGTCAGACAGTTAATTCTTAGGACCTTTATGAAGGGCAAGAGTGTAGTATCCATATTCTATATCATGGGCATTTGATAGGTAAAGCATGACTTTTTAGGAGTTCAATTTTCTTCAGTTTGCTTGTTTAGATCCACTTACTATTATCCATTGCTGGGCAGTTCAAGTTTTCCATTAGAATATTTCCTGAAGTCAGTAGGACCTTATTAAAAGAAAACTTTATGATCTTCATGTAAACATAGAGAGAAAAATAATTGACTTTTAATTTGAGTTAAGGTAGTTTTCTTGAGGAGGCAAGTCAGTGTTAGCTATACAGTTCAAATATTTTTACCCTTAAATATAGCAGATACAATTTTGAATTGATATTTTTCTTATAAAAATCTTAACCTTGACGAACATTAAAAAAAAATCAGCCATTTGTGGTCTTCAAGCACAAGGGTGTTTTCAGAGTAGTAAAGAATAAAGCTACAAATTATAAGAAGAGGCATATTTTATCCAAACAGTTCTTTCCTACAGAACATACTTTAATTGACACAGTTAGCAAATTTAGGGTATCAGTCGACACATATTGCAAATTATTGAGCATTCTGTAGTGTTCAGGCATTCTAAGGTTCCCTAAAGACAAAACTGAAGGTCCTTAACAGTTGCTTCCATAGTTGTGTCTGAAACCTGCCATAGGTCACAGGGATGATATATCTACAGAGACAACAGTTTTATGGTAAGCAATTGAGGTTTGAGAGGCGGCAGGCGTGACCTTGTGCATAGAGTCAGAGCTACCAAGGTTCAGGTGTTGTATTCTTCACAGACGGGCTAGGTTACCCTGGATGAGTCACTTACTGAACCTTTCAGGGCCCCAGGCAACTCTGTAAGCCTATTAGTTGTCAATGTGCAATGATAGAAGGAATTAACCTTATTAAAAATTCTCTAGTAGTCAAACTCAAAACATTTGGTAAGTGCCTGCTATGTTCCCAGCATTGTACTGGGCGCTGGGAATACAAAGACAAAACAATAAAACAATCATTCCCCTGCGCCAGTGAAATTATAGGTCTGGACCAAGAAACAAAAAATAAAAAGAAACTCGAGGTGTAGCTGAAGGGGATCAGCAATATTCTTCTGTTCTAAAGAGAAGGTAGGGCAGAGTCCTCACATCAGCTCATTTTTACTTGTTCTGATCTTTTTTTCTTCTTTTCATGGCCTAACGTATCCGAGAAATCTTTTTGACAGGCAGCACATGGGCTATATATAGCAAAATTGAGTCCTCAAAGTAGACACGGCAGCCCTGGCGATCATGTTGAATTTAAACATTTCCTTTTCGTTACTGTCAGAGTGTGTAGCAACTTCATTTTTCAGGTTGTAAACACCTCTTATTTTATATGTTGGGATGTTATGGATTTGTGTAAGCGAATAAAAAGTGAGGCAGTAAGGCTTCACTACCTCGTAGGGTTGGAGGAAAAAGCAACTCATAAAACTTGCAAGCACTATAGAAATGTAAGTGGTTGTTAGTAGTAACATCTATAATATGGAGGAATAGCCAGCAGTTCTTGAAAGAAACAAGTGTGTACATAAAAGTCTTATATCAAGGAATAAATTCTTTTATTTCTGAAGAACAAGTTATATGAGGGAGGCATGTGAACATTGACGGTTTTATAAATTATAAAGAAAGATACTCATCATTTTGTATTTTTTTAAGTATTTCTTTTGTCACATTCATTCAGGAATTTTTTTTCATTTGTATTATTTTATCTATAAGGCAGTTTTATATCAAACCAAAGATTCATGCAATTTTCAAGCTTTAGAAAAGGGCCAAGAAAGAGTTTTAGATGATCTCAGTTCATGTTCTCCCTTTGGAGATGGCCAGAGTGGAGGTTAAGTCTAGACTTCTACAGAGGTCTAGATAGCAGATGGGAGTAGAACCCACTTCCAAAAATCCCTGGTTATCAAAGCCTGAGGGACTTAGAGAAGAGTCTACTCTACCCTCTTCGTTTTTACACATTAGGAAGTACAGGCCCAATTTGAGGAGTGAATGGACTTGCCCCCACACCCCAGCGAGTGAAGCGCAAAGACAGAAATCAGACCCTGGGTTTCAGATTCCTGTCTAGGCTTCTGTGCCATACTGGATTTCCAAGTCTTTCTGTGTTCAGTCATGCTGCCTTAAATTTATAGTGGGTTAGAGCAATTTATATGGGTAAGGGATGCCATTAGTAATCACTATCTTATTTTATAAATGTGTTTTCAAAGTGTTCTTTATTATGTAGGATTCATTAATTGGGTACAGAACTTTGATAGACCAAGTTAATTGTGATATGGTCAATACCAGAATCATATTAATTCTTACATTACAGTTCTACCCATCTTACATAAAACGTCAACTTTCCAGGGACAGTTTATAAAATGTTGTGGCTGAATGTAACTGAAATTTTCACTTGTTTAAATTTGATTAAGACAACTTAAATCCTCAAAAATGAAGGGCTTCAGTGATTATCTCCTCTAGACTTAATGGCAAATTAGAAAATTTATGTTTACCATCTCCTGAAATAGAATGAAATCTGTTTCCCAATACTTCTTTTTCACTTGGCAAAAATTTATCAGCGTCAGCAATGGAAATGAATATTGTAGAAGAAAAATACATAATCATTGATACTGTCTACGTTGCTTTAGAATTGTCATTTCCCAATTATAAGAGAAGCCAAGAGTTTATGTAGGAAGTTATATGAAAGCATTCTTGGCCTTCAGAAGGTGATTCAACTGGTCAGTCACAGAAACAGTGAGCTTGCCAGTCCTGTTTATGTGCCCACTTTGTGCAGTGCTGCTGAGATGGTGGCAGGAGTTTAGCCCACTCTTCTGAGCTGCTCCCTTGCCTTTTCTTTAGGAATGGTTTGTGTCTGATAATGATAAACTGGACCCTTGAGAAAGAACAGGCTTCCTTATACAGTGAAGCACGACCAAAGGTACCACCCTCATTTTGTTAGACATTTGCTCCAGACCACAGTGATCCCCAGAGTAGTATTTAGCTGCTGAAAAGCATACTGGAGTAAAGTGACAGAGTAAAAAGATCTTCTCCCTTTCACATTGCTTCTCTAGAGTGAAGTTAGACTAATTAGAATGGGTTGGGGAGAAGATAGATCCTACATTTATTCTAGTAACATTTTTTTTAGTATTATACAGCTTATAACTTTTTTCTGTGATTTTTAACTCTATTGCTTAGTGTTAATTACCAAACATGTTTGAATTTTTTCGTGTTCTAAATATGTACTGAAAATTATATTAATTTGAATTTACTACTTTAAAATTTGTGATTATACCATTTTTATTTTTTTTAAAGTATTTACTAAGCAAATGAATAATATCAGCACATCTAGAGGAAATATTTTTAATCTGCCTATAAAAGTTTTGTTAGTTTAAGTACTTTGGAAATATCTATGAATAAGTGATGAATCACAATTCATTCTTCCTGAACTACCCCTACTTGCCTGTGTTATGTTACTTGCCTACCCCTATGTTAGTTAGCCTAGTTATTGAAGACACTTGAAAGCAATGAAATTGCTTTCTTTTTAAATTTTAAAAATTTATTTTTGATTCACATTGGTCCTTTCCCCAGTTTGCTGAACTGCTGAAGTTTTATTATAGTATAATATATGTAGGGACAGCACTTTTATAAATTATTTACTTAATATAATTCTCCTTGACTTCTTGGTCGTTCTGTTTTCTAATTATATAACCTGTTTGGATCTTTTAAAAAAAACCTAATTATATTAATCTGCTGAATTTTCAGGAAATTCAACAAGAGACTGATATCCCTGAGCGAGAACTTGTTAGAGCCCTACAGTCCCTTGCATGTGGTAAACCAACACAGCGGGTTCTCACCAAAGAGCCTAAATCAAAGGAAATAGAAAATGGTCATATATTTACAGTTAATGATCAGTTCACATCCAAACTGCACAGAGTCAAGATTCAAACAGGTATCCGGAATTATGCTGAGCTGTTTATTCCTTAAAAACATCATGTAGGGCTGAAGTCTTCTATAAAAATGGACTTGTCATACTGTTCACCTGAGTGTGAGAAAAAAACGAGCCTGCAAAGATAATCCTCATTAAAAAGTACAAGACAGAAGCATTATAAGAGTGTTCAGTTGGGTAATGAAATGCTTATTTTCATAAATCAAAATCCTTTGTTAGAGACTATGAAATCTCCATTTTTTTCCCCAGAAATGTGTACCATATGTGTGTATATATACATACATACATGTGCATGTGTATGAAATCTGGTGCTTAATTTTTTTTTTTTTTTTGCATAAACATAACTTTAAAATTTTTATTATTATGTTACTTTTAAATTACGATAACAATAAGAACTTCTGATGTCTCCAGTTGGGTATTTCTGTTTATTCCTTTAGAAAACAATTTGTCCATACCTATTTTTAAAAACCCACTGTAGAGTATATATGGGCATGAACGCACTATACCAAGAGATTAATGGTTTCTAGTTACATACAGGGATTTTAAAACTCCTTCCCATGTTTTAAAAAAAAAAAAGTTCACCACAGTATAGTGACCTGAGAAATCATAATAAAATTTGAAAAGAGAGTTCTAGGAGTGCCCCACTGAGAAAGTTAAAAGTAATTAATTCAGTAATAGTTTTAACTAATAGTATCTTGGAAACAAATGTTCTTTTCTTTCCTGAGTTTTCGGAGTCCTTTGCCACATTTGAAACTTAAATGAGTAAGGTAAAAAAAAATAGCCTTGCACACATAACACCCATTGATTCATTGGGCTGAGGTGATATGGGCAATTTAGATGGGAGATGTGGTCTTGGAATAGGTGACCCTGGAAAGTCCCCTTCCAACACATGATTTAATAATATTATGGAAATAAAATTAAACCTGCAGTGAATCTTATAGCCCTGATAGATTTCAGTATTGACCGTGTCTAGAAACCACCCTTGAAATGATAGTATTTTTTTTTCCTCTTTAAAAGAACGCCTAGCTTAGAATGAGGAAAAAAGAGAGAGAACATGAAACCTGATTTCTTATCATTTTGTATATGATCTTTAAAAAAAATTGGTTTATAATGACTGAATAGTATAGTGATAGTTAAAGTAGGACTTAATGTGAACAAGAATTAAATTGTGTATAGTAATTTTATAAGTGGATGTTTACAAATATAATATTCAGATGTTGGTACACTAAGAATGTCAGTAGAGTTAACTTGTTTGTGTCTGTTCATAAACAGAGAGGACATTCTAAGTGAACATCACTAGATATGCATTGTGTGTTTGTCTTGTATATCAAATTATTTTCTGGCATATAACTTGTTTTATTACTTTTACAGTTGCTGCCAAACAAGGGGAATCAGACCCAGAAAGAAAAGAAACAAGGCAGAAAGTAGACGACGACAGAAAACATGAGATAGAAGCTGCTATAGTACGGATAATGAAATCTAGAAAGAAGATGCAGCACAATGTGCTAGTAGCAGAGGTAAGATTAAAACAGCTTAGATGAACAGGAGAACTAGTAAAAAGAATTACATTTTTATATAATATTTAGAAATGCAGATTGTCAACAAATAAGAGTAAACTTTACAAATACCATGCACTAGTCAAAACATCAAGATCTCTTCTGTTTTAAAGGATAGACTTCATGATGCAGGTAGAGAGTGTTTCAAAGAAATAAGCCTTAGCAGTTCATGTTTATTTATAATGAAGATAGCAAATGTGACATTGAGCATATGTTCTGTATAAGCAAATGTCTAAAAACTTTGGAGTACCTTTTTTTCCTCTCCAGATGAACACATTTACATATTTCTGGTAAGATTTAAACTAGAAAATATAATATGATATAATGACCTTGCCATTGTTAATGGTTTTCTGGGATGCACAAATTTTTTGGTAGTTACTTTAGAAGTAAAAATTTTAGTAACTATTTAATAAAGAAAAATCTACAACAGAATGACAGGCACTACTTTCATGACAATGTTTGAGGTCTATTGGAGTAGCTTTTTGCTTGACTTATTTTGTGTCATCTGCTTCAGAACTTAAAAGCATCACCTTGAAACCATTACATACGTTGAGATTCAGTTTCAGATTCAACTAACGATGATGATGCTTAGTATTTATATAAATAGTACTTTTAAGGTTTGCACATCATTTTACATATATTAACATATTTGAGCCTCCTGGATGTGATTCTGATTTCTTTACCTAGAGTACAATTAGTCATCTTCATTTGACTTAGCACTTTTGTCAAATAGTAATTCAGTCACTAAAGCATACATAGACCTTCCTATTCAAACCAAATAAGGTTTTCACATTTATAGTATAGCTTTTTCACTAATGAATTTTCTGTCAGAAAATTAAGGGTTCATCTTTTTTTCCTTCTTTAGGTAACTCAACAGCTGAAGGCTCGATTCTTACCAAGTCCAGTTGTTATTAAAAAACGTATTGAGGGACTTATTGAGAGAGAATATTTGGCACGAACACCTGAGGATCGCAAAGTATACACTTACGTAGCATAAAATGCGTTCAGAAAATTGATTTATTCTTGGACTATACTCTTCGCATGAACTGGGAAGTTCTTTTAAATCAGTAAATATTAAGACGACCATCTCTTCTATTAAATTGCAGTACGTGTTCTAGACCATTCAGATCAAGCCTTTACTCCCTTTGAGAGTTTTCAACATCAATTGATTGAGCTTCAGGCTTTTCAACGTTATCCCTGTAGAGATCATCTTTACAGTTCCTCGGGAAAATGTGAATGTGCCGAGTTTTGTTTTCAATACTGTATGAAAACAGAAAAAAAAAATAAAACAAAAATTTAGAAAATTCAGCTCATTAAAAAATAAAATTGTTGGAATTTCATTTTCCCAGGTCTTCAGTGTTGATGTAAATGTGTTTTTGTAGTGTTGCTTAGCACTTTGCACATTGTATAAGTTGGGTAACAGAAAGATAAAAGAAATGACAGAATTCCCAATTATATTGCTCTGCTTCCAACATTTCTTGAGTCATGTTTAATTTAAAGATTTGGTAAATAGTCAGAAACCCAAGGATACAATTTTGGCACGTTCCACTACTCAAACTGCACTTACTAATCTAGCCTCACAACCATGAATCTTTGTTTCTGTCTTAATTGGCTTTTTCCTGTTTTAATTTGAATTCTTCCAAATTAAGTCCTTATATTGATTAGGTTTTGTTCTGCATTATTTCTAGCAGTAAGAAAGGAAAATATTTTAGTATGTATAAATTGTATAATAATTTTTTTTGCTGTTGTACTCACTGCTGATAGTGGATTGTACAGAGCGGTGTTTTTATTTCATTTATTGTAGACAAATTAAAAATAAATGGATTTAGTGTTCACATACCCACTAATTCAAATATGTCAGAGCACAAAGGTGGCAGTTGATTATTTTGGCCCCTTTGAAAAGCACACCAGTCTACACTTTGTTATAAATGTCTTTGGTTTTTTTGCAACCATAAAGTTCCTCCACCTTAAATACTTGGGGAGAAAAAAGTGAAGCCTGTTGTGCACTATTAATTTACTGTTTTAAAACACAATCTAAAGATGCAATAAATGTGGTTACTTTAATCTTTTAATGAAATCTTCAGTTCTTACAGCCAAATTTTATGGTTTGGAGTGTGATAAAGCAATATTTTTTAAAGCTGGTGATTTGTGGACGAAATTTACATTCCACAGAATCAGTTTTACTTTTTTCAAAAATGTGCTTTGTACTGAAGATGTACTTCGGTTTTCCTGTACTTCCAAACATTCACAGATGTTTTTGACCTAACATCTGCCAAGGACTATATTTTTCTTTATTTTAACATCAAAGTATTTTTATCTTTGGTTCTCTTTAATTTTGGTTTGGTTTTGTTTTCCTAAGACGTTACAAAAATGTAATTGGGACAAACCACTATAGATGCCTGTTGGGTGGAAAAATAGATTGTTACTAACAAGTTTGAATTGAATAACTGACACTTGGTTGAATATAAGTACTATTGATACATTTATTAGAATGTGTGTCTCAGAAGATGATTTTTGTTCAACTTTATGGTCAAGTTAAAGCAATTGGATTTTAATCTGGATTAAAAATTCCACATAAATATTTTTTCCCATGCGTCTTGGGTAATAATTTTTCCTTCTAGATTGGCAAGTGTCCTTATGTTAGATTAATTTTTTTCAGCTTATTTAGAATCTTACATTATTACCATTTCAACATTTTTTTTCTTTATTCATGTTGAAATATAAGAGAGATGAAAAAATTAATCAGCATCATTCTCAGGTTTATCTTTTCTCATCCCACCTTGAGGTTTGAAATGTGGATATTGGGTCAGTTATAATATGAAAAGCCAGAAGTTCTCCATGTCCAGTTGTAATATTAGTTAAGGGTTGTTAAGCTTTCTTAAAAGTTATTGGAGTTCTTTCAATGTTCTTTTTTTGTTCCAGTTTGTTTTTGTAATTTCTCTGCCTAATTAAATAGCTCTGTATAATTAAGTTCAGGTAATGTATATATAGGTTATATTGTTGGTGTATGTGTGCTTTTATTCATAAGGCACAAAAGGTTTCTTTTAAAGTTGGGAGTGGGAAGGGGAAGATGAGACTTTCCTAATGGAAGAAGTATCTAAAATACTAATGAAGTGCTTACAGTTTTTTTTTTCTTTAAAAAGTTAATGTCAAAGATTGAGTAAAATCAAAATTACATTCATTTTTGGTGTTGAAGTGGAAAGCAAATAGAAAGTATAATTGTTTCCTTCCCCAGCACATGTAATCTTTGTACTTCTAAAGTCAACATTTCTCAGAAACACATTTCTGAACAACAAATGAATGAAGCATTTTGACATAGAATGTCAGAGAAAATTACTTATTTTTGTGGGTGCTATTTAGTGCTGCATAAAAATTAACTATAGTATATAAATACCAGAATGTTGCCTGGAAAGGGTTTTAGCTCTTTTACAAAGTAAAATTCATCTAATTATATCTTAATTTGATATTACTTTGTTCCCACAGATTTATAGATTGTACTCATTTTGTCCTTTTCTTAATGTTCTGGTTCTAAAAATTAAATATGTCCTTCCCAGTATGCCATTTATTTGGATAAATACGACTATGATGAATGCAAATGGATTGAGTCGAGTGTTTTAACAATAGAAATTTATATAGTCATGTTTTCATATATAGAATAGATCATATTGTGTGTGTTGAATTACATTTTGGATCAGAGGATTTAGAGCTTGGAGGAGCACATAGGGCTGTCTAATCAAATCCCCACCTCATTTTTTTTTAGGGATGAGGAAATTGTGACCACATCAATAGAGATGCTAAATTTTATGTAGTGAAAATTTAGGAAAATGTACAACTCAGAAAAAAAAGATTATCTGTCCATAAAATGTATTTATTGCATTTAACATACTACTGACAGTTCAAAACTGTGCTTATGTATAACAGATATCTGAAGTAAAAGTAACAAGTGTTAAACTATTAGTATTTGGATTTCCCAATAAGTTTCTAATACTTTATATTTAAGTGGTAATGTTGATACTATATATATTTTCAGAACTAATCTTAAAGGATTACTGAGTTTTCTCAGTCATACAAGAAATATATTCCAAATCAGAACAGCAGTTTTCTTTTCAACCAGTCAGCAAGTATTTATTGTTGTCATTACATGAATATAAATTATAAAACATTTGAAGTTAATCAAATGATAGTAAAATTATTTCTGTCCTAGTCATAGAAATAATCTTGAATTATCACTGTGATATTGACATAGCATGTTGGATATATGTTTTTAAGGAATACTTTTAGCATTTTATTTTTCCATTCACCTGAGGAAAAGTTATAGTAAGCTATGTAGTATAAAACTACTTAGCAAACAGATGTATAAATATCTCAGTCTATTGCACTTTTTCACTGAATATTAATAATGATAGCAGAGGCCATTTTTGTTTTTCCTGGAATACACTCATTTAAAAGGACATTTTAATTCCTTTGTTTTCCTCACAGAACCCTGAGTTGATAGATGCTTTCCTTCAGTAGGTCATGTGAATTTTTAACTGCAGAAGTCAGCACTCATAATGTTAACAGTTGTCATGATTTTCTCCTTCCCAGATGGATGAAACAGTATTTGAAAATGTGTGTTGTCAGAAATATTTTAACTACAACATATGTTTTTGACCTAATACATTTATGCCCATCATAAATATTGATACAAATATTGAAGCCAACTTTCATTATACTGTATTACAGCTGGGTTTCCAGCACTTTTTTCACTTGATAAAACATAATAGGAGTTATGCTGAAGAATATTTTAGAAGTTAACAGTTTGTTCATATAAGCCTGCTGTTACAAGATATCTTTTAGACCAGGTCCTTAGTTGATAGAACAAAAAGAATGGCTCTGCACTATGTTGAGTGCTGAAAATCTGAACTGTTTTTAAAAAATACTTTAAGTTGATGCCAGATTTAAAAGTGTATGGTGAGAGGGAAATTACAAATCCTTGAATTTAGGGAGTATGGAACAAAAATATACTCAAGAACATTTGCAGTCTAGCAAATTTAATCTTTTCTAATATTCACCTGGATCTGAATTTTTCTAACTAAAACAAGTCTTTAAGAATTTGCTCTTTCTAGTTTTCTGTTAATAAAGTTTAGAAAGGGGGGGAAATGTACAAAGAATTAAAATGTATAAAATAATCATCCCTTTCGTTATCTTTGGGGATAATGAATGACAAAGTTATTGATGTTTTCACTTCTATAAACTGAAATGCAGATGCACAGTAGATTTTTGGTGGTACCTGACATGATGCTCAGACAGCTTGGCAGAAGTAAAAAATTCAGATAAAATGATTTTTTTCTACGTGATTCTAAATCCTCTGATTTTCCCCCTTTCCCGTCAGTTGGTTGCTGTGGTATTGTTTGAATCCAACTTTATGATTTCAGGGCTGTGAAAGTAAAGGTAAGGTCTGCTTTTTAGTAACGATTTAACTTAAATAATGGATTTTCCTTTACAGATACTTGGGCGAAAGTTTATATGGATTGGGTTTTTTGCCATCATTATTAGATAGTATTTCATGAAGAACTTGACTTGAATAAGGAACAGGAAACTGATTCAGACTCAACGGGAAAATTTGAGAGTGACAGTCATTTCTATTTAGTGACTCTTGAAGATAGTCTGTATACATGTAGTGTGTGGAGTATATTCACATTTTTCTCCTTCAAAATATACTTTAGAAATACCAGAACGCAGCATGTGAACCTCGCAGATAACGGTGGAAATTTTTACTGTTTCTTGGTAAAAAAAATTAGTAGCCCTTTGACAAGATAATATACATGTTCCAATGGTGTTGCTGTTTGAAAGTGTTTAGTCTTATTTCAGAGCTATAGAAGAAAGCTAGTCTCAAGTCAAACATTATTTTTAAGAAATTTTTTTTTAAAATTGTTAGTAGCTATGTTAATCACTGAAGTTATTCCCCAGATTTGCTTCAGATTTTTCTCTAAGATTAAATCCACTTTTTTTTTGGGGGGGGGGAAGGCAGTGGGATTAAGTGACTTGCCCAGGGCCACATAGCTAGTAAGTGTTATGTGTCTGAGCCGGATTTGAACTCAGGTCCTCCTGAATCCAGGGCTGGTGCTCTATCCACTGCACCACCTAGCTGCCCCCCCTCAAATCCACTTTTGAAGAATTAATCCATTTCCATCATTAAAGATTTTGAGAAAGAAAAGGCCATGACTTTGAAAATGAGCTGTAGAGATGTTTTCAGAATCTCTGGAATTATCATAAAATCCAAAATCACAGCTTTTAAAAAGTAATTTGGGTGTGTAAATTATTTTCTAAGTCAACTTTGTATATCAACCTGTGTGTCTAACAGTTTGTATTAGTTGACATTTCTCTAACTCCTTACAGTAGTCACTGTATTTGGCCCACACCTCACAACAGTTCTTTGAGGTAGGTCTTACAGGCACAGTTATCCTCATTTTATAGCAGTTTGAGACTCAGAGGCTCAGCCATTTGCCTGTCATTACACAGTAAGTGTCTAAAGTGGAGTTTGAAAACTGATCTCCCCTTCTCCAAGGCTGATAGTCTTTTCACTACTGAGTCAAGTCCTGTGACAAAGCTAATTTTTGGTCTCGGGCAGGTAGGGTAAGAGGATGGACAAATGTAAATTCATCAAAGTTCATGAGCTGTTCATGATTTAATGGAATTGACATCTATGAGGATGAGCCTGCTAACTTCTAATTAGGCACATCAGTAAATGGTGGAAAGAACAGAAAAATGGAACTAGACAAAATTTAGAAATGAGGAAGCATATGCCTTTTGGGACAATATCAATTAGGAATGTGAACACCAGAAGAATGATTCTCATCGATAGGAAAACATTAGCAAACACAGACATCTTGACCAATGGAGATTTGACATTTTTTCTAGAAGAACCATTTGTGTATATTGCAGACTGGCTAGTTAAAAACAAGTTAGGCAAAATCTGAGATGTTTTGGTTACTTGTGTGTCAGAGTCCATAGGGAGGAATGGCAGTGTAATTCTCCCTTTTCCGAGAGGCCCTTTATTTAGAGTCCTGCAGGTTTTCAGTCACACTCGGTCTTGAGCTTTAAATCATAAGTGCTTACTCTGCGTAGCATGGGGCTGGGCTTGATGTAGCTAAGTAAGACGGCCCACGCTGTCGGGGAGCTCTGTCTACTGGACAGTCAGCTGAGGTGTTTTCCTGAGTCCCGGATGTGGGCCTTTCATAGCCAGCTTAGGTGAGGCATAGTCAAGGCCATTGGTTTCTGAGGTACAGCCCACCACATGGTGGTCTGGAATCAAGACTTAAGTTTAATCCTTGCTCTACTGTGTCATACCATGTTCCATCAATTAAATGTTCCAAGTGTTAACATCTTGCTTCACTCATTGAGCTGTTGAACAGCCAAATTAGATTTTATTTAGTAGGTTACGTGAAATAGGTCCCCCCTACTTTTTTCATTGTAAATATGATTTTCCTAGATGGTGTCCAGTTTGTAAAATATCGGTCTGTTTTGAGCCCCTTCCTATTGTATTTGTTCAGAGTACTTTATTTTTTTCATATCTGAAGAAAGTGGATGTAAAATATACTAAACAAGGCATTTGTGTAAGTCATTTTAAAATTAATTTTAGTATTAAGAAATAATATGACATCTGGTAACATCTTCAATAAGAGTAAAGTATGAAAGTAGTGCTTAAAAACATAGCTGCAGTCCCTAGTTTTGTTTTAATACACTGCTTCCTAACAAAGATGTTAAATAGGAAGATTATTTGACTGAGAAAATACTTATTTCTACCAATATAATTTCCCAACCTTAATGCAACCATTTATACTAGTTCCAGTTTGTAAAACTACTTTTGTTTTTTATTTCAGAAACCAGGACACTAGTTTCATGCATACTGATACACAGAATAATAATACCTTCCATTTATATAGTGCTTTAAAATTTGCAAAGCACTTTACATACATTCTCTTCCTTGA